CAGTGAATACACATGATAACAGTGAATACACTTGATAACAGTGAATACACATTAATACAGTAAATACACATGATTGCAGTGAATACACATGAATACAGTGAATACACATGATCACAGTGAACACACTTGATAACAGTGAATACACATGATTGCAGTGAATGCACATGAATACACATGAATACACATGAATACACATGAATACACATGAATACAGTGAATACACATGAATACAGTGATATAAGTAACGTTATAAGTATATCCTATATCGTGTATGTATACAGTGTAGAACCATGTATAATAGTGCCATTACATGGGGTCCTACATGAAGTACCGACCCCCGTCCAGCTTCTGAAGGGAAAAGAACGAGCCGACACTAAAAACGACTGCACAGCAGGCTACCCCTTCAGCTGGTTTGATAAAGCAGAGCAAAGCAGGGTTTTTGGACGGGGTGTGGGTTCTTAAGCTAGTATGCAGGAAAAGAAAAGAAAAAAACAAAAACCTTTTGACCAGTGGAAAAGGCAGTAATTACAGAAATTTTTTTCCACATCTGATTCAAGGGGATGGGAGGTCAAAAGAGTGTATGGGAATTAATCATTCCTATTAAAAAGAAACAAATAGAAAGGGAAAAACTTATTTTGGAGACAATTAGAAGTTTTTTCATTTTTTTGTTGTTGCTTTCATACAGGTTTCTATTTTAAAAACATTTGGATTCAGAGTGAAGGAGTTGAAATGTACAGAAGTGTACTAATAGACCTATCCTGAATTCCCTTGACTGACCACGAAACAATGGTTTGAAGTCGATACTGAACTTGATTCTTTAATTTATTCATCAAGTTCAACCTTGACTTGAAACCATTGTTTCGTGACCAGTCAAGCGAATTCAGGGAAAGGTCTATTGAAGAACATTCAAAATGAAAATGTTCTGTGTTTTGTATTTTTTGTTGTAATACAACCTTATAAATTTACCCATACTGTATCAGCCCATTTTGATTTTCTGTTTGAACAACACTTTGATAACTTTCTAACAAGTATCATTTTATTTACATCTTTTTTGTCTGTGGTTTTACAACTTTTTCTATGTTAGCCATGTTCATTAATTTTACCAATAATTACAATTAACATTCATGTAATACTTTAGCCTAGAGGTGTTAAAAGACCATTTTTAAGTTCCAAATAACTACTGTGTTTCTTGATTACAGACTTATTTACACAGGGCTAGGATTGATTTTGTGCAGAATATTCAYGTGTTGCAGCCAAGCTGAGTTTCAAAGTATTTGTATTGTTAAAGTTATGCATCACTGATACRAGGCTAACCCTGTGTAAATGAGTCTGTAAACAAGAAACACAGTGGTAATTTGGAACTCGAAAAGGGTCTATTGCTTCAATGACAGCATAGAAAAATCTTATGAGAAGTAGAAATTACAGTTATTTATCAAGTTTCCAAGCAAATATCAAGCAAATGAAAACAATGGAAAGCTCTTTTAGCTCAAAGAATATTTGTACAAGGTACATTCAAGAGAATGCACTAAGAGAAGGAATCCCTGCACCCTGTCATGAGCACTCTCTGATGCTAATTTTAGAATCATTCATTTGATTGTTTGTTGTTCTGAAAATTCTCTATGCTGTTTGCCATTGTTTTCTTGTGTTTCTTAAGAAAACATGATGAGCAAACAGTGAAAAGCCTGCACAGTATGTGAGTGCAGAAAAACAAACAATGGCAAACATGATTTTTAAAACAGCATCAAACGGTGCCCATGATGGTTTCAAGCATTAGTTCATTTTCTCTTGCTACATGCTGTAGTCAGTAGAGAGTATTTTTTCATATGAGTGCAAAACATTCAGTCCTTTACTTTGGTGATTTTGTGTCCTAGCATTTTGATTGGACAAGCATGCTGGGTCCAAGCGTTCTGATTAGACAACCATGCTTGGTCCTAGCATTCTGATTAGACAACCATGCTGGGTCCTAGCATTCTGATTGGACAAGCATGCTGGGTCCAAGCATTCTGATTAGACAAGCAAAGATTTAGCCATGACTGGATCAAAATCTTTTTATGTGGTCATATGGAATCCATCCTTAATAATACTATGTACTCTACTAGCACTCTGCAAACTACTGCTTGCTGGGGATACCCTATGATTTGAATTACTCCTCAAGCATAATCCAAATTAACATAATCTAAATTAACAAAGCTATAAACTGCATTTTTGGAGTTATTAATATTTACAAACTGTAACACACAGGGCCCTTGGGCTTCCTGTGTTCTGGAAAGAGTCGACACCACCCACCAGTGTCACTAAATCTTTATAAAACCTCATAAAACATCCAATGCATTTCAGACATGGGAAACCTGCTTGGTCTTCCTGTGTGTTCTGGTAAACTTCAACAGCATCACTAAATGTACACCAAAGAATAGAAGGAATTTAGACAGGAGAAATTTCAGATCCAGAAGCCTGTTGGCAAAGTAAATGATAAATGGATAAATAAATAAATGGATAAATAAATAAATGAATAAATAAATAAATACATATTAAATACATAAATAAATAATCGAACGAACGAACGAACGAACGAACGAACGAACGAACGAACAAACGAACGAACGAATGAACAAATGAATAAATAAATAAGTAGATAGATAAATGAATAAATAATTTTCAGGTACAATTATTGTAAAAAGTTATTATTCTTTTTGTACCTGTTGTTTTTGTTGTTTTTGTGCCCCCCAAGTGATGTAATCTTCTCTTGACGCTGCTTGGTACTCATCAATTAACTGTTGTACTACTTCCCTTTAATTTTAAAAATAAATCAGCTACATGAAAAAAAGAGATGGTAGGTGCACATATAGTAAAAGATAATAGCATCAATGTGAAACAAGTTTTGAATTCCCTATCGTTAATATTTACTAGAATTGCACATTATCCAAAAATATGCTGTAATCGAATTGAAATTTATAATTCATATTTTCATTACCTCGAGTCATCAAGTTCATCAAGATTCTCTGCAAAAATGGGTTCCTTTTTGTAGTTCTCCAAGAAAGCTTCCCTCTTCCTTAGCTTGTCATAGAGTTTGCAGTTTTTCTCAAAAACCTAGAAAAAGGTAAAGTGGAGCATAAATTCTTTGTTCTGTTGTTTGGTTACTTATAGTAGCAAAAACGAAAAAAAAGTGGCACCTCTATTAAGTGGACACCTTTGCCGATTATAACAAGACTATTAGGGGGCTTTGCAACTATTGTCTGCTTAATAGAGGTCTAAATGTAGTATATACTTACAGTTGATATGCTGGTGTGATTGGCCAACATCAAACCACTGACACGATGTGCCGTCTGTACATAAGGTGACTTTCTGGACAATGCAACCTAATGAGTTAAACAACAGACACAGTCATCATCCATTAACCTTAGAATTATTGTAACAGCAATAGTAATAATGGCCATGAAATTAAACATTAGATAACAGTTTTTCATTCTATGTGCTGTTTTATCAACATAGGGGATATTGAGAGAACACCAGAAAGGCATTAGAATCATGAGCTGTCCATATAATTCCAGCTGTAGTCATTTATCAAAGTGTGCTTTGTTTACCTGGATGCTAGCAGGTCCCCAAGGTATGAACTCTGCAAGCTTTCTTTCTCTGATTCGCTGCAGACTTTTGTGCACCTTAGGACAAAAATAAATTGAATAATGATTTGAACTACATTAAGTTTGAGATTAGTATTCTTGGATGGCTAGAAATAACTGCTGCTCTCAGGCCAGACATAATAACTCGCCACTTTGGACTGATCAGCATGTATTTAGTAAATGTAACTGATAAAGAGAAATGGCAACTAGCTATAAACAATGGCCGCTAAATGGCTTGACTGGATGACAAGCCACAGTAGACTGAACAATGTCAATATGTGGTCCTAAACAGTCAGGTAACGATGCCCGAACCTTTTGGTGATGGTAACACAATCCAACACGTTTTGGGCTATATTCAAAAGGTGAATTGGCCAGACATTGTTTGGACCAACCATTACTTCAAACCCTTGTTATATATAATATTAATTAAATTAAAGCTGTTACCTGTGTAGGATCTACTTCTCCTTGAATGATATTTAGGATAGAGATATAGCAGTGATTATGTTTTCTGTTCCTCAGGGTGGATACCATTACATTTTTGGGCTGCAAGAAATTTGATAGAACAGGGATTTAAGCATCACCCAAAGCAACTAGGAATCATTAAACATGTCTATGTTTTTTTCACTGTGAAGATGTTACCTGGAGTAATCTGCGCATCACGTCAAGAACTGTTGTTTTTCTGATGCTGGCAACCTATTGAAAAATTAAAAAGGATTCATATACTTTAAGTCTAATAAAGAAAATCTGGATTTTATCATTATATACTGTCACTAACATGCATATTTATTACAGCAGATTCTGTACACTGTATGACTTGATATAGCATGGCACAAGGCAATGTATATTATAATAGAATAGAACTGATTTGATGAAGTCTTTTACTAACCTTCTGGTCAGTGGTTAGAGGTGTATACCCCGTCATCAAAAAGTGGAGTCTGGGTGTTGGAATCAGTGAAGCAATCAAACCAATCAAATCATTGTTCATGTAACCTAGAAGATATTAGGTACATTGTCATGTTAAAATTTTTTTATTGCTATGTGACTAGAGATATGGGTTAGATTATGAGTTTAGAACATGAGTTAAAGATACAAATAATGACCAAAACAGAGTGCCTGAGTTGAACACCAGTGTTGACTGATGATCACCAACAGTCAGCTGAGAGTTGATGGATCGACAAACTAGCAAGTCATAAGGTACACAATTATCCAACGAATTTCATTAAATATTGAGCCAAAAAATTATTGAGCCAAAAAAAACTTGACTTTGAAAATGACTTCCGCTCAGGTTGTCGAAACGTCAGTCACATCAAACAGTCCTTCTCAGGACTACATCCACCCAGATGATCATAGCACTTGGATTAACATCCAAAAAATTACTTTGAAAGTAAGCTTGCATCGCATTTAAAAAAGTGTACTGCAGATTTTATTGAATTACATTAGGATATTAATAGATTGATTTATTAGTATTAGCTTTACCTATTTGTTTTCACATTACCTGGATATCTTAGGGTTGTTGTGCTGGTGGCCATTATTGTAGACACAAGCTGATTGACTTGAGAGAAGGTGGGATTGGGAATGTGAAGTCTATCAGCTGCTATTCTATTTAAAGCTGTATTATCCAAAACAACCTAAGATAAAGATAAATAATGAATAGATAACAAAGATATTGAATGAATGAATGACTCGATGAATGGATGACTCAATGAATGAACAAATGAATGAATGAATGACTCAATGAATGAATGGCTGAATGAATAATTCAATGAATGAATGGCTCAATAAATGAATGAATGGACGGATGGACGGATGAATGAATAAAATAATGAATGGATGAATGAATAATTCAATGAATGAATGG